GAGGCTGGCAATCCCTCCACATCTCAACCCGGACAGAGGAACCAAGCCTCAGAGAGGCTAACTGGAAACCGGGTCCAGTGTCCCATGCTCCTATCAACAGTCTTGCTATTTCTGAAGAAAAGGAAAAATAGGCAATTGAAATCTACCAAAAGACACAAAGGGACGAGCTATCTCTCTATCCATGATCCTACAGACATTCATGTCCGGGAGCATTACCCGGCTTCGCTTCGTGGGAGTCTATCTGCGACTCACCGAAAAACTCCTGAAAAACTTCCACTGGAAGATCTAACAACGATACCAAAATACTCAACCAGTCTACACTCGGGCTCTTAACTATGGGCCAGTTTCCATCTGCAAGTCTGCAATAACTATTGCCAATCGATTTCAAAAACGAAATGCAACCCTTCGGACCAACCAATCTCCAAAAACAGTCATACAGCAGTTCATTGACTGCGCCGACACTGGTCCTCTCACAGCTACAGGGACGACCCTGTTACCCTCACTGCTCCATCACCCTGTAAGGAGCCTGATCTGCCATGACGGGTTTCCCACCGCGCACCCTTGGACCTTCGTTTTTTGCGGACACAATGGGTACAGTTCAAGTTTGCTCCTCATCGGTTCTCTCGTAGCACCTAACCAATAGCGTTCCCACCGCCTCTTGATACCCTCCCACCACTCAGAAAGGCGCCGCTATTAGTAATTCCGTGGGTTTCATCCTGAACTGTAGTAAGGATTGCCTTGTTCTCACACTCATGAGCCGCTGTGGCGAGCTACCCTTTCACCCATACTGTCCCAACACCCTGTAAAGAGCCTGAGCTGCCATGACGGGTTTCCCACCACGCACCCTTGGACCTTCATGATAAAGCGATCGCATTGGGTACAACTCAAGTTTGCCCTTCACCGGTTCTCACGTGCCATCTAACCAGTAACGTTCCCACCGCCCCTTGTTACACTCTCACTGGACAAGGTGGCGCAGCTACCGTAATTAGCAATTCCATGCGTATCACCAGATTTCCTTCATTTCCAGTCATAAACCACTGTACTTTCTTTTCACAAAAACTATGGATACTATGACCAACCAAATGAAATACTCAAATGAGCCTCAACTAGCAGAGCTACTCAAATGAAATACTCAAATCCATTTTTAAAGACATCTTGACAAGCTCTTTTTTTTTATTGGATATAACCTCGGGGCGTACCGGAGATTAGACCACACCAAAGAAGGAAAAAAAGAACACCAAATTTGACCAAAACACCTTGTGTAACCTGGCTGTCGCCCATGGGCCTGGGAAGCTTTTGCATTAACTAATGGATACTAAGGGCCAGTTCCCACTGGCAAAGAGGATGGGAATGAGTGTCTGAATCTGGACGTGTTTGTGGCGGGGAACCCTAAACCCAACTTCTTTTATTTCCAAGATCCGCAGAGAAACTCTGTGTCACGTATCTCCGGAAAACCTTGATTGATCTGCTTTTCTGCATCGCTGCGTGGAACACATCCAGATTCAGACACTTATTCCAATCGGCCTTGCCAGTGGGATCTGGCCCTAAGCTAGGCTGCCAGCTTGGCCGCTCAGCTCACCTTGTTTTTTTTTTTTTTTTTTCAAGCCCGCGGCCCGGCAGTGAAAGAACGAAAGGGGACTGAAAGAACGGCGCTAGCGGGCGAAGACGGAGCGCTCCGCGGTGTCCGTCGCCTCTCGCGAATAGCGTGTGAGGCGCTACCGGGCCGTCACCCTCGCCGTCGAGACGAGGAACGGAGAACAAGCCGCCCTTCTTCCCGACGAGGAAGGGGCTTCGCCCATTGGTGGCTCAGTTACCACGGTAGTCCATAGCCAAGAAGGTAGTTGAATCTGGATGTAATTTGTCGAAGGTGAATAATTTACTAGAATCGATGCGGGGTTTCAATACGGGGACGAGAGAAGAGCATAGAGAATAGGATGGGAAAGGGTGGTCCGAAGAGGAAGCTTCTGAAAGTTACCACGAGAAGTTAACCTAAAAGAAGACAGAAGAGGGCTGTGGTAACAAGAAAGGGAGAGCAGAGGTAGGGAGGGAAACGTGAAGGTTATTGAGTAACTCACGGAATGGAGAAGGAAGGTAACTATAACCACCGGGGAGGTACCGTCGGCAGATCAAGGTAAATGGGCGAGCGCGTATGAAGAGTAGTGGACAGGTATGTATCCAGGGTAAGAGTTGACATTCAAGGTTACTGGTGAGCTCGCGGTAGGGCAGAATGGACTCTCCGGGCGAGTAATTAACGGAGTCGTCGGACAATTACCAGTCATAGGATTAATTATTATCCTGGAAAAGTACACAAGGGGTGAGCGAGCAGACAAAACGGACAGAGGGAAAAAAACTTAAAAGTAAGAAGGAAGTAACAGTACAAGAGATGATTGAGTCCGTGAATAGTAGGGAGGTGGAGCCGGGCGGACACCCTAGATGAGGTAAGGCACAGGTCAGCTCATCTTGCGGGGAAGGAGAGGGTGCACCTGGTCGAACACAAGGGAAGGGGGCTACGAGGAGTCCTAGCGTCCGTTTCGACCAAGCATGGAAGAACAGGCGAAATACAAGAGTTCGAGGCGAACGGAAAGCACTTGCTTGAATTCCGATTTGGACACGGAGGACAGTAAACGGAAGCAAGGCCAAGAGACCGGGCTGGCACCTCCGGTGTCAGGTAGCTCAATCCAGTCGGGGAAGAGAGAGCGCACATGGTCGAAGTGTAGGGAAGAAGGGCCACGCGGAGATCGGGTGCCCGAATGGATCAAACACAAATCACGGGCAAGCACAAAGGGTAGAGGCGTGCAGAAGGCACTGGTTTGTACTTCGATTGGGCCACGGTGGACAGTATACGGAACCAGGGCCAAGATACCGGGCCGGCACCTCCGACGCCAAGTAGCCTAATTCAGTCAGGGAGGAAGAGCGCACCTGGTCAAGCGTAGGGGAAGAGAGACCACGCAGAGCTCCGGTGCCCGAATGGTTCACTCGCCAGACATGAGCAAACACAAAGGGTAGAGGGGAGGGGAAAGCAATTTACGGAAAACTCCAGAAATGCCACGAAGGATAGCGGATGGCAGCAGGGACAAGTGAGCAAGAGTGTACGGTCTGGGGACGAACGGGAACAGGCACGTAAGTCACAGGAAGGATGAAGGAAGAATGCGGGGTTTTTAATTCCTGAAATGCCAGGAAGGATAGTGGATGGTAGCAGGGACAAGCGAGCAACAGAGCACGGCCTGGTGACGAACGGGAACAGGCACGTAAGTAACAGGAAGGACGTAGGAAGAAGGTGAGGCAATAACTACTGAGAAAGTGACCACATTGGGGTTGCATTTTAGAACCAGGGATGGTATACGAGATGTATCTAATACCACGGTTCTAAGCATCATTACGGAATTAAGAAGTCTAAGACAGAGTAAAGTCAGTGTAACAGGAGGAGAAGCAAGGCCGAACGGTACCTGCTGTGCAGCCATGTGAACACTCGAAGGCTAAAGGGAGAATTATGGTGAACCCTGGGGGAAGTGGGGAGGCACTCCCCAATTCAAACAAAGCTCCTAAGGACTGGGACAGAGTCAGCCTCAGTCAGGAGCTTTGTGGAACGATGCTACGACGAGGGCGTTTGCCCTCATGACGGGAACCTGGGCACAGTAGTGGAGGACAAGGAACGAAGGTGGTTCGTGGTGAATGAGGAAGTAAATAAACTGAAGGATCAATGGTTGAGGGAGAGATCAGTAGTGGTAGTGTTCCAGGGGGAGGCAAGGAATCTGTCGAGGGCAGTGAACAAAGACTTGATTAGAGCCTACGAGGATGGCTGGACTGCCAAGAAACTGTTTCAACCGGAAGCAAGGCGGGGAAGGGTTAAGTTTGAAGGGCAGAACGTTGCATCGTACATGGCCAAATCCAGAGACATTGCCACCTGGTTGATCAAACAGAAAGAGATAAAGATCAAGCTTGACTACCAAAAGGAGTACATAGTGATGTTCAAACTGAGACTGTCGAAGAAGGAAATGCAAGACCACCGCATCCTGGAGGCCGAATCTAAGTTCTCGATAATGGCTCTGAGAGTGCCGCCCATTGCATACTATTTCTTGGGAAGTGCGGTCGCGGGTCTGTTTGGGGAAATCACGGAGATGCACCCTCCCTAATACGATAGAGACCGACCGAAATTGATGAATGTGAAGATAGACATGCCGGCCAGCTCCAGATCGAAAATAGACAACGTACTTGTAGTATAGTCACCGGAGGGCGAACGCTGGAAGGTGGACATAGTGACCCCGTACACGGACTGGTGTCGCCGCTGCAGGTGGTATTTCCACACGGAAGATAGTTGTCCCAGAAACAGACAGATAGAGGAGGGTCGTAGAAGCAATGGAGAAAGACAGACGCATAAGGAGAGGTACAACAACACTTGGAAAGTCAAGGCAGAGTGTCGCAAGGAGAAACGAGGGAAAATGCAGGCAATCATGCGTCTCAACAGCTTTCGAGAACAGGTCAGGGACGAATGGGGGAGGTGACGAGACAGGAGGAAACCGATAGGAGAGCCAATATGGGTGGGGCAAGCGGCTCAAGGGGCCCTACTCTTCGGGGCCCTAGCCAAGCACTGGGAGGGGCAGCAAGGGAAGGTACAGTGGACAGGAGGAACACACACTGGTCAGAGCGCGCGTACCAGGGTTCAAGAGACCAACAGGAGGAGGAACTGAGACACACCCAGTTCCAAGAGGAGGAGACGTACCCAAGGTCACAGAGGTGGGGAGACGCACAGGAACCGGAACAAGGGAGAACACTCCCACCTCCGTGGTCCTCGAGGGAAAAGTGGGCGCAGAGTAATGTGCAGGGCCTCGCCAACGGAGCGGGTCTGATTGGAACTCCCCAGGGAGAACTGGGCAATGCTCAGATGCACGCACATTGGCAAGACCCGTACCAGGGGCCTCAAGAAATGGGGCAAGGGAATTGGCTCCAGCACTGCAATGCACTGCCTTCCCGTACACAGCAGTTCCAGATTGAGAGACCGAACCCCGGTTACCCTTTGGAAGCTTACGATTGGAGAAACTTTGCACCACAGCCATCGGGCAGAGGTTGTCCATCCCTGGGTCACACCAGATGGGAGGAGAGAGGAGGATCGATAAGAAGAACGCAAAGAAGGAACAATGGGAGGTGGGAAGTTGCCAGGGAGGACAGTTGGCGGAACAGAGGGGATACTTCGCAACCTTGGCGCCGTAACCTGACAACTCACAGTCTGAGAATCAGGGAAGAGGCGGGCAACCAGGGACACTGGGACGAGGAGACTCCGGACGGAAGAGCAAAAAAAGCACGGGCGGAACTGACGAAGACGTCGGAATCTTCCCTGTCAAGAATCAGGTGGGGGAGTGAATGTTACGAGGATTATGGAGATGCACACAAGTCGGACGAAACATCTTCCATAGAGAGTTCTGCAGGGTCGGGGATTAGGAAGCAGAAGGGCCAAGTGATCAGCAGCAGAAGAATACCGGATAAGAGTAAGCGTGCAGTCACGCTGGAGAGGAACCAAATGGAAGCGGTGGAGAGGTGCTTAGTCCCAATCTTGTGCACAAGCTCAGAGGACGGGGTGAAGTTCCTGTCTTTACTGAATGCAGAAGGGGTTCCTCATATTCCCTCCAAAGTGATCGATAAGACACCAACACCGACAATGATCATGGGTGTGGTAAGATCACTATATGGAGAACACGTCCCAGTTCGGTTAATACCGAAGTCCACAATGACTCATGTGATAGTGGAGATGATGCAGGGGTACATCAAACTGTATTTCCCGCTCCTTGATGCGCGGATAGCCCCTGAGACAACATCAGCGCTGAACCAGACGGGAGTACGCAGTTTCCAAATGGACCTGCTGAGGGAGAGGAATTGGCAGGAACTGGAGAAAATCCAGGTCCTGTCGGGTGTCTCCGCTATGGTCTTGGTGAACGTCAACAAGAAACTCATGGGGGAAGAGAGCCTTCACTCCGGATTTCTGGCCACAAGCCTGATCGAAGACTGACGCTCATTATCACAAACAAGCTCTGCTAAAGGGAATTCGCAGTGTCACTCAAGAAGTTATAGCAGAACAGGCTACAGATCTTCCTCTCTAAGAGAGACGATACCAACCTTCCGCATCCAAGATCAGGTAGAGAAAACAACAGCGAATGGAGAAGATTAGAGCTGTAACTTAGAACGTGCGGGGCCTCGGGGATACCAATGGGAGAATGAAACGGAGGAGACTGAAGTCGTGGCTACATGAGTGGAAGGTAAACTGCGTTTTTCTGCAGGAGTCCAAGTTAAATGAGACTAAACTGAAAGATTTTGAGTTGTGGTGGGACGGACCACAGGTGTGGTCCCCAGCGCAGGGGTCTAAAGGGGGAGTAGGGATCCTGCTCCACCGGGATCTGCAGGCACATGTAATTGACACAGAGGCGGACATCTGGGGGAAATGGGCGTGGATGAAGGTAGAGATTGGAGGGGAGGCCTGAGTACTTATGACGGTTTATGCTCCATCGGTAGTCAGCGAGAGAGGAGGCCTGGGTACTTATGACGGTTTATGTTCCAACGGTAGTCAGCGAGAGAGCTAAGTTCTTAGTCAGGCTGATGACGCAGGTACCAAAAACGGACAGACTGTTACTAGCAAGGGACTGGAATGTGTCCTTAGACGAGGCACTCCGACCAAACTCAAGGACATCAGAACGCAACGACGTCAAGACGCTGATGGAATTTTGCACAGAGCTATCATTAACCGATCCATTCCCGGTACTCAACCCGGAAGACCCAGGCTACTCCTGGTTCTCAAATCTACACAGGGACAGACAGACAATCACGAGGAGAAGACTGAACTTCTATCTTCTCAGCGAACAGGTAATGGAGAACATTATCATGACCAGGCATGTAGGTCCACCCGTTGTCGGACCATAAGCCAGTGGTTTCAGACATACAGATCAGGACTGGAATTGAGAGGGGGAGGGTTTTTTTTCGGTTGAACAGTCAGGTCCTCGAAGAACTAGGGATTACAGAATGGGTGGAAAATCACATGGAAGGGTAGAAAGATGCTAGACAGCACTTCGAGTCAAACGCAGAGTGGCTGGACAGGGGCCTGGCAATCACGTCGGGGGTTCTGGATGTATGTTCACGTATCTTAGCAAGGAGTAGAAATAAGAGAGAGGCGGAGTGTCTCAGGAGGATTGAGGAGGCGGAAGCTAAGATGGAGGGACATCCTATATCAGCAATGGTGTGGGCAGCGGAGCGGGAAAGGAGAATGGCAGACTGGAACAAGATGCAGGTGGAGAAACAACAAAGATGGTTGCAAATCCTCAAGGAGAAGGGAGTGGAAACGAATGACAAGATGAGCAAGAAATCCTTTCAAAAACTCCAGCCTAGACGTGTGCAGCAGCAAATGATAGAACTGAGACACCCGTTTGATGATTCAGCCCCCACAGCCTGTACAGCGGTAGGGATGTTGAAGTATGCGAACCTGTACTATGAGGACATTCTTAGGACCAAAAGACCGAACGAGGATGTTAACACAGACCTTTCTCAGCAATCGAACATATGGGAGGACACCACGGTTCAGTTAGGCACAGCATCAAAGTTGGATATGGATAGACCAGTTACCCTGGAGGAACTTACCCAAACGCTGAAGTCTATGGCACGAGGGAAGTCCCCGGGGGTCGACGACCTTACCGTTGAGTTCTATTCCGCGGATTGGGGTGTTTTGGGGCCTCTACTAGTGAAGTTGTACAACGAAGTGTTAGTAGGAGGGAGACTGGGAAAAGGCATGACTCATGGGGTGATCACGGTGCTGTTCAAAAAAGGGGACAAGTCTTAGGTCAGAAACTGATGCCCGATTTCCTTGTTGAATGTGTCCTATAAGATCCTCGCAAAGTCGCTGGCACGCAGATTGTCCAAGCACCTTCCACAACTGGTAGAAAGAGACCAAGGGGCATTTGTGCAAGGGCGGTCAATATTTAATAATATTGTGACCGCTATTGAAACGATGGAGATAGTACAGTCCGAGGGCTTAGACACGACGGTCTTGCTGTGGACCTGGAAAAAGCGTACGACAAGGTAGGTTCGACATTTGTCCTCACCACCTTGAAGAAAATGGGGTTCGACACAGAGTTTTGCTCATGGATCAAGGTAATGTACATGAGTTCCTCATCCGCAGTGATGATCAACGGTCACCTCTCAAGACCGTTCCTGTTGTCTCGCTCGCTGAGACAAGGATGCCCCCTCGCCCCATTGGTCTTCGTGCTACAGATGGAGGTACTGCTCAACAGAGTTCGGCGCAATCCACACATCAGGGGCCAACCGCTGCACAATGGGGAGGAGTGTAGAGTTGAAGCGTTGGCCGATGACCTGTTTGCAGTAAGTGACAACACACCCAGCTCCCTGCTGGCGCTGAATGGAATCCTAAGGGAGTACTCCACTCTCTCTGAGGATTCAATGAACTGACACAAATCTACCTACTTATTGCCGGAGCAATTTTCACTCAGCGTAGAATGGGGGATGAAAAGAGTGGAAAAGGGCGAAGAGGAAAGATTCCTCGGAGTGCTGATCAGCCTCCAGGTGGGGACATCAACACAAGGGCTGGTTCTGCAGCAGCGTATCGCGGCAAGGCTCAACATGTGGGGAAGCGCCTGACACCTGTCACTGATAGGGAGGGCCCTAGTTGCTAATGTTGCATTGTTCTCTATACTATGGTTTGTGTCCACAGTTAAAGAGTTAGCAGTTGGGGTGTTGAAAGCGATTAGACAACTGGTGGCCAGGTTCCTGTGGAAACCACGGGCGAAATCCACAGAGGGTTTTATTTCGAAGGTTGCACTGGACACACTGACCTTCCCAAGAGCGAAGGGAGGACTGGGACTGGTAGACCCAGTCAGGAAGAACCAGGCCCATCTACGGGGCAGGCTGGCCAAAGCAGCAAACTGCAGTACCAGGGAGCAATGGATGACGCTGGTAGAAAGGATCCTGATGAAAGAATGGGGACTCAGCAGTCCAAAGGATGTGTGGACCTGCTTTCTAAATTAAATGCCCTCATTTTGGAAGAGGAAACTCAAGTCGGGGTTTTGAGAAGCAGTCCGCAAGGCGTGGAAGCAACACCCTCCAGATGTTCAGAACCCGCCCGCTACAAGAGATGAGGTTCTGAACCAGTTATTTGACAATGCAGAGATTCAGGACAGCTCCGGGAACATGCTGGTAGCGGATGGCTCCCCAGGAACCTTCGGGCAAGCGTGGGTCAAGAGAGGTATAGTCAAGATTGAAGACCTGTGGTCAACAAGCACGGGGAGTTGGAGGCCTCTAGGAGAGAGAAAGGAAACCTTGAGAGGTTTACAAAGGGTGGAGGATCACTGGAGGACGGTGCTGCAGTCAATCCCTGCAGATTGGCTGACCAAGCTGGGACCAGATGGCGTAGACCCCACTGAGACTTGGTACCTCTCAAGCACGGAACACGCTGAGAAAGTGCTGTGGAAGGTCAAGGAAATTTTACCCAGTGGGCTCAGGAAAGTTGAGAGGTGGAGCAGTGAGGGAACCTCTAACTCTCTGTGCTTACTGGAAGAGACGACAGTGTAGGCCTGGAACAATCGAGCACAGGTCAGAGTGGTGGAAACGAACAGGAGGTCTAGTACAGGGAAGGCACCGTGCTGGATTGGAGGGACAACGTTAAGGCAACTGCAGATTGACCCCTTAGCCTGGAGTTGGTCGCCTGCTGCAGGGGAGGAGGCGCCATTGAAACTGGTGGACTACTCAACTGGCCAAGGATATCTGAGAGCGGCCCCCAACAGGAGAACCCCAGCCCAAATCGCCACCTCCAGGTGGCAGGCGACATGGAGCGAAGATCTCTCCCAAGCAGGTCCAGAACTCGACAGATTGTGGGAAACCTTGACAGCATTGTCATACGGTAAGCAAGTAAGTGTTTTGTGGTTGCAATCTCTGATGGTCACACCATCGGCAGTATGGCTGGCGAGCAGAGGCATGACTATAGACCTGGGCTGCTCAAGGTGTAGATGGCCGTTTGAATCAACTAGACACCTGTGGTGGGACTGTCCAGCGTCTAAGCGAGTATGGGCATGGTGGGCCTACCACTGGTTGAAATTCGGGGACCAATCAATCACCTGGGGAGAGAAATGGGTGCTGCTGGGCTTCCTGCCTACTAACGTTGAGGGTCACCAGGGGTGGGGGTACGTTGCGCATGTCACAAGAGGTAAAATTTGTGAAGTGGTTTGGAGGGACAGAAACAGGGCACTATTTCAGAAGAAGCCGCTCTCAGATGTGGAAACCAAGTTCTGCATCAAACAGGGAATAGAGCAGGCGATTCGGGTTGAGATGGTTCAGACGCACCTGGGCCTGTAACCAGAAGTTGGCTTGCATTGATGCACGAGGGAACCTGAGCATATCGCGCTGGGTTCAGGAGCTGAACAACCCAGGGGAATGATTGGCAGGTTACGGGTCTTGGGGAAACGGTGAAATTGCACTGTGTCAGGTCTCATGGATGAAGGCAGTCAGAGGTAGTAGGCAGCAATAGAAGGGTAGAAGGGTACAAGATACCGGGCACTCTGTTCAGTAGGGTCATGGTAGGCCACTAGGGGAGTGCCAGTAGTGTCAGTTCCGGACCATGTCCTCTGGGCCGTGTAAGTCCCAGATGTAGGATAGCCCAGCTAGTGGAGGGAAATGATGATGTATCTAAGCAACGTTCTATTCGTAGACTATGATATAAGTCGAAAAGGATAAGTCCGTCCAGTAGTTAGAAGGCTAATTCTGTTTTAACTGCTGAGGATAATCTGGGTTGATGGGAATCGCTGTAGCAAGAGATCCATAGGTGTTTCGCCTGTAAGCTAAGCTGGCTGATGCTGTCAGATGACCCCGGGTGGAATTGTGAGGTCCCCGGCCTCAAATCCTTTTTGGTAATGAATTGAAAAAAAAAAAGAAAAAAAAAAAAARAAGGGGACCGAAAAAAAAAAGCACCAAAAATTCCGGAAAAGCAAAAGGGAAAAGTCATAAACTTCCCCGCGACGAAACCTTTGTATCCATTTCCCCCCACACGGGGAAAAAATGTGCCGCAGATCCCAAAATCACTTTCGGTGTCATTCACCCTGTTTGGGCTGGGGCTAGGTCCCACTTGCACGAATTATGAGATACTGACCGTAGATAGCAAAGATCAACGACCGAAATCTCCTAATTTGCGCAAGTGGGACCTTGCCCCCGGTAACGCCCGCAGTGTAAAAATGGCGGGAAAGAGTTTTGAACCGCGTAAAAATGGCGGGAAAGCGTTCTGAACTGTGCAAAAACGACGCGGAAAGGGATTTTGGGGCCTGCCGCACCTGTTTCCCCGGTTGGGGGGAAATGGATACAAAGGTTTCATGACGGGGAGGTTTTATGAATTTTCCCAAAACAAAATGTTATGCACAAAAACAAACAACTGATTACCTTTTGCCTAACAGGGGCCAAGTCCCACTAGCAGCGTTGAGGTACCTCAACGCCTGAACCTGGACGTGATTGTGGAGACGTGCAGCTCAGGAAACTCGACACCATTTCTGCACACCTCCGCAAAAGAGTCCACATTCACGCGTTGAGGTAGCTCAACGCTGGTAGTGGGACTCGGCCCCAGGGTCACATCGACATTGTTTCTGAATTTTGAAATAAAAATCTATTTTAAAATTTTCTCATTTCTAATTTTTTCATTTGTCCCGGACCACTCTCGAGCGCTAGACACTAACCGTATATTTCAATATGTCCAATGGCTGACAACTCCTATCGACTTCATCCGAACGGAGCGCAGAGGTAGGCTACCAGCCAGGCCGCCCAGGTCACCTTCTTAGCGCAGAGCTAGGCTACCACCCGGGCCGCCTTGGTCACCTTGTTTGACCGTACATCTCGGCCGTGCAAGGACCACGACGGAAAGGCCGAACAACAGCAAAGAAAAAAAGGAAAAATGAAACATATCCAAAAAAGCTCTAAGTTCCACAGAAAAATACACTGAATAACATTTGCCTCAGGGTCAGATCGAAATTCTCAACCTAACTTAACATTATGATAAAAAATTAAAAAAAATATATATATATATATCGTCACACACAGAACTGCCCGGTAAACCGTAGGCAGAGAGAGAGAAGAGGACAACAAACGAGGGGCTGTGACAAACTGTTTCCTCGGAGTTTCACCGACTCATCATATATATATCGTATAAATATATATATTTTTGTTTTTGTTTTTGGCCCGGCCGGGCGAGTTGCCCAGGCCCGTTCTGGTAACCTACGCGCAGAGGCATTAAAGCTGTATTTGGGCCAATTTACAGCGTACTGAGTGTAGACACAGAGATAATGACTAAGCGTTCCATTCGATCGAAAATGGTACCTAATAGTCATCCCGTGTTCCAACTCACAAAAGTTCTCTTCCTGTCAAACCCACCAACCGTCGGTACACCCACGAACTGTTGATATACGGACCCAACTTCGCATCCATATGCAACCAAATTAACAGAGATTATTTGGCTCGTTTTATTTTATTCTCTTTATTTCATCTGCGTTTTCTTTTACTTCTTCTTTAACGCTAAGCAAGCCAACCCAAAACAATCTTCGTTCGCAGTCAAAGCAACAACTTCCCTAACCCCCACCATCTCTCTCTCTCTCTCTCTCTCTCTCTCTCTCTCTC